GTGCCTTGGAGAGAGTTGTCAACGGTCTCACTCACTAACATGCCAAGTACAGAGCACCACCAGGGAGCCTTGAAGGGGCAATTTGAAGATTCTTTAGGAAGCAGGGGTGCTCAGTAATTTCAAACCGCAGGAATACATATGGCTAAAAGAGCACATATTGCTTTACAGGAAGGTCTTCAATGTTAGAACTGGATGAGGTCTAAATCTTGGCTTTATTCTTGACCAGGTTAGGATATTTAGAGAGTTTCTTGATTTTCTTAAACTCCAGTTTCCTCAATCTGTAGGAGGAAGATAGTAAGTAATGATTATGTTTACCTCTTAGGATAGTTGTGAGAAATGAGTAAGATGAATATAAAGTATTTAGCATAATGCCCAGAACAAAAGTGCTCATTGGATTTTTGTATAATGTATTAATGAGATTGTGGGGATAGTTTTATCTCACTTTCTGACTGTATTGTATCTCTGAAGGGATCATTAAGGAGGACTTTACCAAGTGATTTTAATTACTCTTCTGGACTGCCCTGGGCTTTGGTGCTAATCTCTCCTACCAGGAGGTAGTGACACAAGCTCTAACTGTCTCTTGCAGGGAGAACTTGTAAATTCCTCTGCTTCCTTCCATGCATCTTCAGGTTCACTGTTGCCCAGCTCTGGGCTGACTTTGTTGTTGGGGACAGGAGACAGGAAGGTGCACCGCAGGTTAAGGGGAGGACAGCCTGTATTTCACCCAATTTATTAACCTTTAAGTTGACAAGCTTCTCACCCAGGGCACTCTCTGTGAGTCTGGCTGGGGCCACATAATAGGGGTAGTGTAGAGCTTAACAGGCAGGAGGGAGGTGAAAATAAACAAGAGGATGTGTGTCTTAGGGGGAGGAATATTTTCTTGACGGATTAGGTAGGAGGCAGGAGGTACACAGAAAACCACAAATTACCAACCATTGGACTGTAAGCAGTTAACTACTGCTCAGGCTAATGGCACTCTGATAAAGCCATTCAAATGTGGAAGCATGCTTTGTTTCACACAGGATAGTTCACTATTAGGCTGCCTTCCTTTTTCACTCCCCTTCGAAACTGAGAGTTTCCTTGAGAGACATCACATGAGAAGGGGACTTTGATTTGCTTGGTATGTATAGTGGTTGGCTCCTTCTTCAATGGTAACTGAGACTGAAAACATTTGAAGAGATCATCTGCTTCATTCTAACAGAGAACAGTCACTAAATCAAAAAAGATAAATGTATCACTTCTCCCTCTTTTTGAAATATTACCAGCCAATACTCAAGATTTGCCAAATTGTAGTTAACATATACATAGGTCAAGTTTCTATTTTATTATGGACCATTTATAATAATCTCTCTATGTCAAATGCAATTGCCATCCTTTCTTAGCCACACTAGGTGAGATTTACCATCAGTTCTGGGTAACTGTGGAAGAGCTGGGGGTGATTCTGTGAGGAAATAGACACAGATAAAATGCAGTCAGTGAAAATGTACAATCCAAGGAGTGGCTCAGAGCAGCCTTTCCTAGACACTGTTGTCTTCACAGTTTCAAAATATATTTGATTTTAATTCCCTTTAACAATCTCCTTTAATTAAACATGATATAACTTTTTTGGGGGAGGGGTGGAGAAGGACAGGAGAGGGACTGTAACTGTGCATCCAACTAGTAAAGGTGATAACACAGCTGTCACAGGGCATAGAATTCTCAACACAAGTGAGGTGAAAGCAGGGCAACTGACCTAGACTATATTCACTCTCATGGTTTGGCACCAAGTGGGAACTTGGTGAATGTTTTGGATGACTTTATGATGCAAGCAATTGCAGGCTTGGCTTCTTAACAAGTGCAATCTTGTACACAAAGATATTTGCAGGTTAAGAATGCAGGACTACCAGTTTTCAGTGGTAGTTTTAAAAAATGTACTTGTTTCCCAGACAGATGTTCTCCATGCTGTGAGCAATGCAATGTGTACCTTTTCCAGAGGGGCCTGGTTGGTTTTCTGCTGGTCCTCCCAGGGCACTGGGAGAGGGGGAATCCAATGCTTTGAGGAGCCAATTGAGAGGAAGTCTATATTAGCCCTCCAAATTATAACTGCTCATCTGTAGGCCTAACCCAGCCACTCAAAGACAGGCAAAGATGGGGCTGAGCCAAGTTGGCTGTACCTGGGAGTTGGGAGTCAGGGCAAACTACCAGCAGGCAGGCAAGGCCTAGAGCAGGCCACAGAGCTCAAAGTGAGAGGGGAGATGGCTTTTCCTCAAAGGTACTCTGTGTACTTGGATGATCCTGCTATTAAGTTGAGAGAATTCTCGATGTTAAAATCATTTATGAGTTGCTATGTTAGTAAAATTAAGAGAATCCGGAAATCCAGATACAGTTGCAGAAGGAAATGATTTGGGCAGATATGATGAGGAACAGCAGAAGGGATATATTCTATAATGTACGGGGAAGCTCTCAAACAGAGCTAATGAGTCTGCACCAACACTATCTTAAGTTTCACTAAAATTATTTAGACTTTTCTAAATAGGCTTTTTAGTTTTAAATCATGTCAAGTAATAAAATAGCATTATTCATATAGAAATCGATTTTTACATAGTCTACAATAAAAATTTTAGTTATAGATGTATAAGATTAGTTCTTTAAATGATAAATTAAAACCATGGTCAATTATGGCCCACAACATCAGCAAAGAGGTTAAAAGAATGTGTACCACAAGGAAGGGGAATCAGCGTCGCATGTATGGGGCACAGCAGGCCCCTGGAGGGTAGTCTGGCAACAAGCTAGAAACCTCACACTCTGACCCAATATTCACTTCTAAAAACTAACTCTGAATAAGCAAGCAATCAATGATAAACATGAAAAGATTTATTCATAAGGACAGTTTACTTGGGAATTATTTGTAAAAGAAATGTGGGAACAACTGAAATGTCAATGACGGGAGTGCTTTAATAAGTGTAACGGAAGGCCAGGTAGCCATTGTAAGTCAGGCTTGACAACAAATATTAATTGATTTGAGAAAATGCCATGAGATAGTGGTCCATTAAAAAAGCAGCTTACAAAAGTGCATTTTCAATATGATCATCTAAAAAATATAGATATACTCTGTGCAAAAATATAGGTATATTTTCAAAAGCCTTAAGAAACCTGAAAGGATCTATACCAGAATATTGATGAATATTTTATTTTATTTTATTTTTATAAATTTTTTTAAATTTATTTATTTATGATAGTCACAGAGAGAGAGAGAGAGAGGCAGAGACACAGGCAGAGGGAGAAGCAGGCTCCATGCACCGGGAGTCCGATATGGGATTCGATCCCGGGTCTCCAGAATTGCGCCCTGGGCCAAAGGCAGGCGCCAAACCGCTGCGCCACTCAGGGATCCCGAATATTTTAATTTTAATTTTTAATTTCCTAAACTTCTGAAATAGTCTTCAGTGAACTTCTATTACTTTGTAATCATAAAAAAATATAAACTTTAAAAATTAAAAGCACTATGTATTTCACTACTTCTACATACTCAAGACAGAAAGAAAAATTGTATCAAAGTCCATCTATATAAGAATCTAAAATTTTAAGAAAATACTTAGACAGTAAAATACTTTTTATTTCATGGAATAATTTATTCCATTCATTTGTAATAGTCCATTTTTTTTTAAATTTATTTATTTATTTATGATAGTCACAGAGAGAGAGGGAGAGGCAGAGACACAGGCAGAGGGAGAAGCAGGCTCCATGCACCGGGAGCCCGACGTGGGATTCGATCTCGGGTTTCCAGGATCGCGCCCTGGGCCAAAGGCAGGCGCCAAACCGCTGCGCCACCCAGGGATCCCTAGTCCATTTTTTTTTTTTTTACACAAAGTACTCTTTTGCTTAAGCTTGACACATATGTAGTAACAAAAGGGATTTAATGTCCCAAGTAGCCTCTGAATATTTGTATATGGACAGAGGGGATATGTGCATAATACTTCTCTCAGCTGCTTGCATGCATTTAAGACAGGAGTAAACAGTAACTTTAGAAACCCAAGTCGGCCCCATCTTTCTCATGCTGCATCCAATGCCTATAGGCACCTGTTGGATGGAAGGAGGCAGAGAGGAAGCTGTTCTGTTTTCAGGAGTTCATTGTTGGTGGGACATGATGTGATGTTCTTCCTGTAAGGGTTACTTGAGGGGATCCCAAAAGGTGGCAGGATGACATCGAGGTGCACCCAGACAGGGAGATGGGGACAGGGATGGGGCTGAGGTGGAGAGGCAGGAGAAATTGGGGAGGCGAGGGGGCTTTGCTGCCATCTGCAATGGGGTGGGGAACATTGGAGCGACTCCAGAGATAGAAAGTTGTGGCCACATCATCCATTATGTACAGAACCAGCTTTTTCTTTCCCCTTCGCTCACCAAGTATTTGGATTTATCTTGTATCTTCTTACTTTTCTATCCATGATGTTCATTGTGTGCTGAGGACTGTGCTAATTGCTGTGACAAACATAAAGATGGGTACAGGGGCCCATGCCCTCAGATGCTCACTCTCTGTGCAGGTTATTGTGGCAAAGCCTCAAATAATAATATGCATTATATTGAAGTAGGCTCCATGTTGTTTTCAGCCCTCTAAATGTCCCTCAATGCCTAGCAGAGAGGCATTTAAATGCTAAATGCCATTATTGTTATTCTTTTTTATTGCTGTCTTCATTATTTACTGCTCCAAAGGAAATTCGGTAGTTTCACTGATATTTATTTATTTATTTATAAAAGATTTTATTTATTTATTCATGAGAGACACACAGAGAGAGAGAGGCAGAGACACAGGCAGAGGGAGAAGCAGGCTCCATGCAGGGAACCCGACGCGGGACTCGATCCCGGGACTCCAGGTTCGCGCCCTGGGCACCAAACCGCTGAGCCACTCAGGGATCCCCAGTTTCACTGATTTTTAAATGTATACACAGCATCCTTCTAATATGAAGAATATTTGCCTCCATCATTCATGATTATATAATCTATTCATTTTATAATATGTTTTATAATAGTTATTTTTTCATGATAGTTTTATGCTTTAACATAGTCTATATGATAAAATATCTGGCAATGCTAACTTGTCTTTGCCAAACCCAACATTTAATAAGGGACTTCTTGTTGTCTATTTATTTTGCTTGCATCTTGCACCAAAGTTGAATGATACTTGTTGGTGAGCTCCATCCCCCACCCCAAACACACAATTCAACGTTATCTTTCTGAGCTAAGTAGAAAAAATAAACAATACACATGCACCTCCTTTTTTACTCACTCGAGACAACACAGACATTTAGGTATTCATATATCATTGAATTCATTTGGATCTTTGAATACTTGGGCTTCAAATTCCATCTGACTCTGTAAAAAATCATGTTCAAATTAGTACAGACTTCCATAAAACGGTAAGAAAAACAAAATGTTCTGTATGTCTCCTTAATGTCTGAAGAGCCAGAAGATAACTGAAAAGGAGTGGGGACCAAGAACTTGTGACACTCATGCATTTTCCACTTGGAGATGGTGACTATGCTATGTTCCAATATGACACTTGGTCTGGGGCCACAAAGATGAACAAGAGCATATGACACAGCTAAGAACCTTCAACCTGGTGGCTGGATGGCCAGAAACTGAGCTTACTTCATTGTAGGGAGGATGTGATAGGGTCAGCAAACCAAGGCTCTGGAGTCCAAGAGGTCACATGATGTCACAGCCAGGCTATAGCTGGAGTAGAGGTGCTGCCTACAGCCCTGGACCTGAGAAGCTACACTGAGAGCTGGGGTGGTGAAGGGATGTGGTACAGCAAGACAAGAAGCCAAGAGACCTATGTTTGGGATTTATTAACAAGTAGGGAGTGGTGACCTCAGCAAGAACAGTTTCAGGAGTGTGCTGAAGATGCCATGGTAGTGTAGGTCACAAATGTAGATAATTCTCTTACAGCATTTGACTATGAAAAAGAAAGCCATTGGACAGAAAATAGAAGTAGGTATGGATTAAGGTAAGTTCTCTTCCTTCCTTCCTTCCTTCCTTCCTTCCTTCCTTCCTTCCTTCCTTCCTTTCTTCCTTCCTTCCTTCCTCCTTCCTTCCTTCTCTTTTTCCTTTCTTTCCTTTCCCATCCATGTGTTGAGACAGACAATAAGCAAATCAGAAAATATATTCTATATAATGATAAGGACCATGAAGTAGAAAGACACAGTGGTGAGGAGTGGAAGGGGCATAGTAGTTAAGATGGTGATGGCATCTGCACAGAGAATGAATGGAGTGAGGGTCTGAGGCATGTGAAGGTCTAGGGACAGGATGCTTAGACACAGGCTACCAGAAGTGCAAAGGCACCTATGGCTCCAGGGCAGGAGCCCTCCATTGAGAATATAGTAGGAGACCACAGTTGGAGAGAGAAAAGGGGGCCATTGAATAGACTTCAGAATGCACTGGGGGTTTTGGGCAAGGGAGGGGCATGACATAATTTGTGTTTACAAATATACTAGATTGTGGGGGAATAGTCAGTAGGGGTCAAGAGTAGAAGAAAGCTAATGATTGAGGCAGGATGACTGAGTGGCAGCTTGATTTAGGTTGGCAAACACAGACATGTGGAGAAGAGGTTATATTCAAGGATATATTTTTAAGTAGTAGCTGATAGTACTCTAAGAGGGAAATTAAGAGTGGTTCACATCTTTTGACCGAAACACTGTACAGGGGTGTCATTTGTTGAGGTAGGGAAGATGAGGGAGGAGTGATTTTTAGGAGAAAACCAAGCGTTTACTCAGATTATCTACTGGACATGTTGAGTAGACAACTAGAGATATAGACGAGAGATTGGGAAGGTGGGCATGTTAATATCCACCTGCTTAAAAATCTTCCAATGAATCCTCATGGCCTTCAAGACAAAATTTAAGCTCCAATCTCCACTGGACTTAGCTCTTCTAAGCACTTCCAGCTTCAACATCAGTCTCATACCACACTGAATGCTCTTCTAATACAGTCTTTCTTTCTCTTTCCCCTCCCCACCCTCATGCATATGCCATTCCCTCATTTTTATTGATCTTCTCCATTTTGACCTGACTGACGATTGTGGCCTAACAACTCAGATAAGCCTTCCTTGTCCTACCAGCCATTCACCAGTGATTCCATACAGCTGGATTAAATGCCATGGACTACTGCAACACTCTACTACACATATCTATGAACTCAAGGGACTGCCTGCAGTACTCCATAATTGATGACTGAACTTGGACAACTTGTTCAAATTCTCTGAGACTCAGCTGCTTCATCTATAAAATGAGGATTAATAATACTACATCCTTTATAGAATTGTTAGGGGGATTAAATGAAGTAATATGGGGCAGTACTTAAAATACTGCCTGGCATAGATGAAGCACTGAACAAGCCCTTACTATTACAGTAATACTTATCACACTGTTGTGTACTTATTTTCCCATTGGCTTTTCTCAGGAAAATATTAGCCCTTGAATGCAGACTTGGAGCCTTTCATCTGTGTTTCTGGAATACATTATGCTTTAAGAATTGCTTCCTATATGAATGGATGAGTTTGTGAACGGGAAAAAATCGCATTAGGCTATAGTACTACTATGAAATGAATCAGCAGGTTCTTCTTCAGTTGGTTTACTCAGAAGCTATTCTCTGTGGGTGAATGTAATTCATCTGATACTCCACTCACCAAACCAAGAAGTCCTGGGTTGCTGTTCCTATATTATATATGGGTCACTGTTCAGTGAAAGTAATGTCATTACCTTTGGATCAGGTAGACATGGTCCAAAAGCTTCCAGTAGAAGGGTCTCTTCTCTCACAGCCTGTTCATAGTCTGTGAAAGACAGCTTCCCATCATGGTCATGGTCCTAGGAGTTGACCAGCCATGCATCAGTCAACATGTACAGCACTTATCACAAACAAACCTGTCTTTTCATGGTCAAGTGTTGACAGAAGAAAGATGTTGGAAAAATGAGAAACTAATGAAATTGAAAAGAATTTTTAATCTTATAATAAAAAAACATGATATAAGTGTTTTATTTCACCAAACAAGTAACTGATAGTTACTACAAGTTGAATTCTTAATTCTATCCCATTCTGGCCTATGAATGTCAATATAAAACCCTACATTTCCCATATTTACCATTTTTTTAAGTGTTATTTCAACCAAATCTTTAATTCCTTCATCAGGGTCTTCTTCAGATGGCTGTTTGAGAAGGCTGTTCTTCAACATATGGAACATTTCTTCCTTTGAAATGAATCCATCACCATTCAAATCAAACACTTCAAAGCAATCTTTTAAAAAAATAACCAATTATGAATTTGATACTATGACTAAGGGAACATTTGCTCTGATAAAATTTTCAAGGCCAAAGTCTGTATTGTGGATGTCCGTGTCAACCCTGCAGGACTTAGTGCAATCTAATTTCCATGGCCAATGTTTAATGTCTATTTGTTGAATATAGTCAACAACCCTTAGAAAATGGCTCCTTACACTCACTCAGCTATGAATAAGAAAGCCAAGGAACAATGATTTGACCATTTCATCTTAAAATTCTTAGAAAACTGACTGAAATATGATCCTTACACAGAGTTCATCAGAATGAATTAAGAATTAACTAAGAATCAGAGCACTTGAATCAGTGTTCTCTACTTCCATGTTTAACAATGCAGGTAATGAAATATGTAAAATATTTAGTACCTTAATACATAAATGCATATGTACTTAGCATATATAGTTCATGCTTATGCAGTCTTGCTTCGCATGAATTACTCCTCAGAATCTCTTGATTTTCCTTTGTATTTTTTTCTTTCAATCTTTATAACTGACTTGAATTTGCTCTGTAGGAGAGGCTAATGGGGATTCAAACCAACCAACCGAAAGACAAACCTATTTCAATGGCCACATTGGAAGACAATGGACATAAGTTCTTTAGATACATTAATCCTAAAGTAAAAAGTTCAGGACAACCTGAAATCTTACATTTCATTTTTTCTTCCAAAGTTCCTCGAAGAAATACTGATAATCCATAAATCCACTCTGATACGTTTACATAACCATCGTTGTCCTCATCAAAACCTCGGAATACTAAGAAAGAAGCACAACATAATACTTGTGCTGCATTTTTGTTCTCAGTAATATATTTACACTGGTTCTATTCACTTTTAAAATTTGGACAAAACTCCAGGATAAGATGGTCCACCATTCTCATTTGACAAAGGAGGAAAACTAACACATCATAACATTGGAAAACTCTTTTATTTAAACTCTCACACTTTCTCTTCATATTTTGTGGAAACAAAGTAAGTTCTGAGTAATCAATGATTACTAATATGTGAATATATTGTATATTAAATGTGTTGATATGTTGACATAAAATATGTAATTTTATATTTTTCTTACTCAAGAAAATTAATGCTATTACATGATAAAGTTATAACTTAAATTTACTGAAATATTTTTGATGACATAAGGAAATCTATATGTCCTTTTAAAGCCACTGTTTTCATTATTATATTTACTAAGTAGAAATAGAAATATTTTAGGTTTTTGGGTATAAAGTAAGGAAAATCTAATTATTCAAGCTGGACTTTGTCCTCTTCCTGAATACACAGAATAGAGTGGGTAGAGTCACCCTCACTACGACGCTTCCCTAACATACAAATTGATTTTTTATATTCAAGTGAAATTGGGAATTAAGAACATTAAACTTCCTATCAAGAATATGTCTAAATTCCAAGATTTTTTTTTCCCAGTTATGGCTGGATCTGGCCTATTTGAATATTGTATGTCTTCTTACCTCTGTCCATAATCATATCGTCTGTCATTCCAAATGTCATGTGCAGGATGTTTCGAAATGCATTGCGATCTAGTCCAATGGTGATACCTTGCCGCTCTGTTACTTCTCCCACCAAATTATAAAAAAGATCTATAAGACATTTCACTTCAAATTTATTAACTGTGAAGAAATAAGATATAACAAAAATGCATTTTAAACCTTTATTTCTAACTTAAATTTTGCATTATTGAGTTTATAGACATCAAGGACATCAAATATTAGTTTTCAACAGAAGACCATCCTGTTTTAAGATTCATGACCCTTAAATTAATAAAATTAACTAAATTAATAAAGGATGGCCACTACAGAGGATTCTCTTCTAAAATATTCTCTTTCTCTAGAGCATTTCCTCCAAAGAGGAGTTGAATATTAAATTCAGTCACATTTAGGAAGAAAAGAATAATAGCCAAGTTACCTGAATAACGATTATGAGGTCAGATGCTGAACTTTAAAGGCAGTAGAGGTGCAATCCAAAGTAAGCAAGGTAATGCTTAAGAATGGTAACTTTGCTTATAGGCGTTTATGATATTTACAACTAAGCTTTTGCCTGGAGATAGATACCAGACTCCTGAACACTAGGCAACAATTTTAACTTCACATCAGCCTTAGTTAAATCAGTAAGCCAGATTTTGGACATCAGAAACCTATTTTCCAATAAAGAAGCATTTAACCATATTCCAGCACCCATTATGGTTCTTATTGTACCTGATGTGAAAATTAACATGTAGGTATTTAGTATTTTGGAGGAAGGGAATTTTTATTGAAAATAAATATATGGACATATATTCTGGCCCATACACATAAATGCACAGAGTATTTATAAATGCTGAGTTAATTATTTGTGCTCCAATTCCCATTTGAGGTACATAGGTGGAAGTGTTATTGCCTGGCATAAAAGTGAGTTTAAATATGAAGTATAGGTGGACGATGAGAAATGTTTTATTTCAAAATAGAACAAAATTATGCTTCAGTACTTTAAAACACAATGATGAAATCTGTGTGTATATAAAAGATGACAGCAGATAGGAATGGAGAAATAATGCCTCGATCTACAAGTCAGGACAGGCTTGAGTGTGATTTCTGGTATGGGATAACACAATTTAGAAGGAATATTGAAAATTTGGGGAAATAAATGATTTAGTAAAAAAAAGTGGTTAAATAGTAGAAAACAATGTAATGGTTATGATTTTAAAAAGAGCTGTTAGTTGATGTAGAAAATGACATGTCAGTTCTTAAAAAAAATTACACATAGAAATACTGTGTAACCCAGTGATTTCACTTCTGGGTATGTCCTTAAAAGGATTGCAAGTAGGGACTCAGTTGTATATCAATGTTCATAGCAATATTATTCACAATAGCCTTAAAGCTGAAGGTAAGCTAAGTGTCCATCAGGAGATGAATGGATAAGTAAAATGTAGTATATGCATGCAGTTCAGCCTTGAAAAGGAAGGGGATTTTGACTCATGTTACAAGACAGATGAAGCCTGAAACATTCTGCTAAGTGAAATAAGTCAGATATAAAAGGACAAATATTGTATGGTATCACTTATATAATGTATCAAGCATGGTACAATTCACAGATACAAAGTAGAATGGTGGTTGCCAGGGACTGCGGACAGGAGAAGTGAAGAGTTATAGTTTAATGGGCATAATTTCAGCTGGGAAAGATGAAATAGTTCTGGAGATGGATGTTGGTAATGGCTGCACAACAATGTGAATGTATTTAATGTCACAGAGCTATACACTTAAAATGGTAAATTTTTGTTTTATATATATATATATAACCACACACACACACACACACACACAACCTCCAAAAATAAAAGAGCTTGCTAGTAATTGGAGAAGAAAAGCCTGTATTAAGAATGATGCTCATGTATATGAAATTTTAGCAGAGGGGTTGTTTATTAGCCATATTTCCATCTTGGCTAAAATGAAAATTAAAGAATATTATCTTAATTTATTACCCAAAGGATCCAGGATTAGCCACAAGAAAGTTTTACTTGCTGAAATGTTTCTTAAATTCCAGAATAAAATACTAAATTAAATTAAGAGAAATTCAAGAATGGATTTTCATCTTTTTGGATTGGTCTAAGTGTGTTCTGCAGATCATTTCTGTAGAATGGTGGGCAATCACTTAAGGTATTTTTTTCTCTGATTCTACAGAACTTATCCATTTCATCCTAGTGGGATTACAACTGGCAACTAAAAGGAAATTTGACTTTAGGGGAAAAGTTCTCCATTAAAAAAATTTTTAATTATAATGCCCATGACTTGTAACTATTTCTATAGTATTTACCTGGTAATCATCAAGGTTTTTAAGGCCCACTTTAAGAATTTTATGTAAGGACAAAAATCAAAGACTTGACTTTTTTTTTTTTACTGCCAGGTTTTCACTTATCTTTTAATACATTCACCTTTTGATTGTTCACAGAATGACTGTTTGCAATTCATGGTGTACTTACTGAACGGGTACTAAATCAAACTGTGTATATCAGTTATTGCATTGCTTATTCAAAATGTTCTCTAGATGTTTAAGATTTGATCTTTTCCTTGAAATGGATTCGGAGAAAAACAACAACAGAACAAGACCACACTATAATAACCATAATAATACCTTAATATATAGGATGACTTTCTTCTAAGAAGTTTGAGGCATTTAAACACACCATAACTTTTATGTACAGTGCCACTTCACCAAGGGAGCGTGCCCCACCACCCATTACATTAGATACTAAATACGCCTAGAAGGCACCAGATCCTATAAGCTCTAGAACTACATTATACCTGTCCCTCCTTTGCACAGTGGAGGTAGTACTGGAATTATGGCTTCTCCTAATTTCTCAAGTGGCCATTAGTTTGTAATCAGCAACACAATTTATAAGCTTGCTTATCAGACAGTATCTTTCTCATTTTAAACCATATCCGGGTTTCCTTGACCAAGTACAGTTCTGTTTCTCAGTCTGGGTACAACTGTAAAGTTACCTATGAAATCCTAGGACTACGTCTTGGAATGTGTGATTGGAGCAGATATCTTTAATAGGCGCTCATTTTGTCACCTACAAAGTCTCCTTCACCTCACAACCCCACCAGCAACTGAGCAGATGCTTTGCTGTGTTTTAGCTTTTGTGGGACTCTTTGGTCTCGAGACACATTTCCTTGCTCTGAGATGTGCCACTTCGACTCATCTTTCCTGAGGATGTCCAGCTACTGACAACCAATTTCCCCTTACGCATCTCCTGGCAAGTTCTCAAAACTTGGACCCTGCCAGTTTATTTGCACAACAAGGAGCTAAAAAGCAGGGATATGTTGGCTGTGCTAGTTTTCTTGGGGCCGGTGGGGTGGGGTTCAGTACTCTCTGAGGCTGCAACCACACCTGTTGTGGCAGTATGCGAACAACGATTCTATAATGGAAAAGGTGCTTGGAAATAGAGGTGGAAGGCTCTGCAGTGGGAAGGTAAGAGAAGCAGAGGGCTCGAAGAGCGACTTGGAGCCTGTGTGGGAGTACACAGATGCTGGGTACCCGCATTCCGGTCCTTAAGACCCTGGGCAAGCACGGCTACGCCGCCCTACGAACCAGGAACTTCTGCTCATCCAGCGCTTGCTTCCTTACTTACAGTTCTTGCAGTTTTTAGTCAGGGTGTCCGTCAGCTTCTGCAGCTTCTTGCGGTTCATGCCGGCGGGGCGCGAGCGGACCCTCGCTGGTTCTGGGCCGGGCTGCGGGCAGGCGCTCCAGCCGCGCGCCCGAACCCACGCAGGCCGGTGCCATGGCAACGCCGGGCCGGCCGCCGATTGGCTGCCGCGGGGCGCCGCGGACACACACACACACACACACAAACACAGCGTGGCCATGGCAACGCCGGGCCGGCCGCTGATTGGCTGCTGCGCTGGGCTCGCCGCCCGCCGAGGGTCCCTGCGGGGCAGCAGTGCGCGGACTTGGGAGTTTTAATTTTGTGGCTGTGCCCTGGGTTCACAGCCCCTTTGCTGCACCGCAGTGTGGCCCAAGGTCTAAAAACACACGTGCTCTCTGCAGGAGGGATACTTTGGATGGTGAGCGTCACACCAGGTGAGACTGGAAATCGTCTGGGAGATGGGGGAAGCTGCAGGAGCTTCAAGAACCAGCAGGTGCGTGACCCCCCGGGACTGTTTGGCGGGATGTAAGAGGGCGAGGAGCTGGCCCCTAAAGCCCAATCGCTCTCTTGGTTGTCTGCTTCTGCTCTGCTGCCTGGAAGTGGCCTGGAACGAGATGCCCTTAAGATTTGGTGGTGGTGTTGGGAGCAAAAGTAACTTGGAATAGTCCTTCTTCCCTCCCTCCTTCATCCTTAGAGGTGGAAGTGAGGTTGTGGGTGGAATCCGGGGAAAAAGCCATCGGCAATGCTGAGCTAGTTAAAAGGCAAACTCCCCAAGAGCCATGCTGACAACTGCCACTTTTGTGTGGGGCTACTTTTCGAAGACCTTTATTTTCTGAAAAATATCCTAGTAAATTTGGACCTTTACTTATTTGAAAGATGAGTCTGTGTCCTTTAATGTGGGAGGACTTTCTGCTCTTCTGAACCACAGGTGGGACCCTCTTTGAATTAAGACAGCAATAGAATGGGATAGCTCGGCCAGTAGCACGAATCCTGCAGTATTCTCCAGGGTGTCTACTTGTTTTATTTCAGATGGGAAAATGCTTTTGAAAACAAATTATTTCAGGGGTGCCTGGGTGGCCCAGTCGGTTAAGGGCTGACTCTTGGCTTTAGCTCAGGTCATGATCTCATGGTCCTGGGATCAAGCACTACAAAGGGTCCAGCTCAGCAGGGAGTCTGCTTGTTCTTCTCCCTCTGCCCATCCCCTCGACTAGTTTTCTGCCTTTGTCTCTCACAAATAAATAAGACAACAAATTATTTCATAGTATATGTAGTGTCATCATTAGACTGAAAGAAAAATTCGGCCTTCCATGAGTAACAGTCCAGAATGAAATAGTTCCAGTATTGAGGTCTCTGAGTTTGTCTCCTTGTGTCATTTGTGTGTTTGTCAAATGAAGGTTTGGGATGCTGTTTGAAACCTGAGTCAAGGATGCTCCGTGAAGGCAGGCACTGTGTTATCCTAAAGCAAATTCTCTGAGAACAGTTAACCAATAGGAAATGATAACGATTTTGAGTTTGCAACCATTCTCTGGTTACATAATACTCCTATATGTCCTCTTGTCTAGCAGCCGTGACACTTCTAATCAGATTGTAGAGAAAAAAAATGGAAAGAACCAAACATTCTAATTACACTCACCTGTGAAACCCTAGTGACTTTTGTTCAATGACAGTATTGTATAGTAAATATTTCATTTATAGAGATTACTACAGTACTCATTTTAAAAGGCAAGGACCCAAAAGAGTGGCTGTCAGTAGTAAATAAGAGAAGCCATGGGCCCCACCAGTCTTTGTGCTGGCAGGTCTGTTAAAAACCATGCATTAGGTGTTCTGATCAGATTCTGTGCTGGCATGTCTTAGAGAGCAGGTCTCCACCCGTGGGAAGCACACGGATGGGCATGTCCAGGTGTTTTCACAGACATCATACCCTGAAAGCTTGTTGGTGAGCATCTATGGCTGGGCTAATCAGCTCTTCACAAGCTTCAGGCTTAGGACCCAGCAGCCATCTTCCCTTAAAGTAGAAAAAAGGATGTAAGGAGAATACCACAGAAGATTGAGATCAAAAGCGTCAAATCTTTTCTACCAGGCAAAAATCCTTTAATCTGCTAAGAACATTTTGTGGTACTCTTTTCCTGTTTCTCCCCTTCCTCAAGTTCTTTCTTCTTTTAGTGAAAAATTTCCAAATGCATTGTTATGTGAAACTTACTTCTCTAAGAGAGTGGACAAAGCCTTTGGTAGGGGAGCGTTTTCTCAACATACTGGGAAACTTCAGTGCGTTGATTACATTCCTGTGAAGTTTTGAACTTAATATTTTTAGACTTCAGAAACAAGCTATAGGCCTGATAGTGTTAGTTAATCTCATTTCAAAGCAAATTGAAATTCCTATTTGTAGTTTTCAGTTGCTTGTGTTGAGTAGACACAGGATTGCTTCCTCTCTCATGGGCTTTTTCAGAGTAAGTAATTAAGCCTGAACAGTTACCTCATATCAAATCAATCAATAATAGGATAATAAAAAACCCTATTTAATCTGTACTGTATGCAAATTTTACTCTGCATGATAAGATCACAGAACTTTCCAAAATTCCACTTTGTAACGGATGTTTTTATAAATATAAAAGTACAGTAAAGTGACTATCAGTGCTATAAATGTTTCCTTTAATTTTTCATGCAAAACTGTCTTCCCTTTGACTCACAATTAATTGGAGTTTTGCCATGATAAATAGCTTGAGCCTTGAATTGATTAAAGTCTTTTACTTCATGAGGACCTTTTATGATAAAGGCGTTTGGAAGCAGTTTAGGAAATGACATCATAGAATTGATTTTCTTTTTTTTTTTTTCATAGAATTGATTTTCAAGTCAATTACAAACCTTTAGTATAAAGGTTAGTTATCTACATAACAAATTCAATTTTACCAATTTTATTGTGTAGAGAGAATGATGAGAAATTTGGAGGTGATTTTAGCCAACTGTTTGGGTGGTTGAATCTCTACTACTCTCTCTTGCCACTTGTCTTTGCTGCTACCCTGTGTGACAACCTGCCTTCAGTGTACCTCCAGCCACCCAGCTGTCTGCCCCAGAACTCTACATTCCTCACCCATCTCCAAAGGCAACTCTTGGGAGAGTTTTTTACTTCCCTGTGTAAAGTGAATCCTTCTCTACCCAACCCTCATTCTCTGCCTCAGGACCCCAATTCCTTCTAGCACTTGCTACCATGATTACTTTCTTTCTCTGATCTCGTCTCCCCACTAGACTGTAAATTACATAATCTCTCTCTCTCTCTCTCTCTCTCTCTCTCTCTCTCTCTCCCTATATTTATGACTATTTTCATCTCTGGATCTCTGTATCTATCATCCCTCTGTCTATATCTTTGAAGTTTGGTTAACACGGTCCATGTTCTATTATTTGTGCTAAGGGAGGGGGAGCATGAGAATTTGCCTGAGCAAGGATGAGTCCTCAGTTCCCTTGCAACAACCCCATTGTGGAGAGCCCCTGTGAAGGCATAGTAAATAAAAAAATAAAATAAATTTTTGTATTCCCAAAATATACTGACATTTATTGGTGTTAACATATTTCTAGATAACATTTAAAAAAATATGATCAAGTGACTGGTGGTAAATGCAAATACTTAAGGTTTACTAAGGATAATATTCTTACATCTTATGTAGTTGTGAATTAAGATGTGATACATGAGAAGTAATCATTGCAACAGCCATTATGTCAGCAGGTTGAATAAGAAAGCTGTTTCTGTTTCACAGGGCCAAACAAGAAATCCCATGGGTCCTGCCATGCTCCTTTTTACTGATTGCTGGGTCATGGGTACCCAGGGCTAGGTCATGGCAGTGGTGTTATTTGGTTATGAACGGGGCCAGGTAGTTCCAAGGGAACCTAGAGTGCCAGGTAGCTTTCTGGAGCAACCAGGCCTGGCACCACCTGGCTCTGTGAGCCGATGCTGACCAGAAAATGACCTGGACCAGTCCAAATATTTGAAACCAGGCCCTGGAACCACATTCTCAACCATTGTTCTTGATCACTCAGAGGAAAGGAAGCTCCTAGAATTGCCTATCTCCAAATGATTTTACCCCCATCAACTCTCTTTCTTAGCCTAGATTTCTCTGACCCCTTTGAACCATGCTTAACAAATATTTTTTCAATTGTGAACAGTTACCTTACATGATCCATCATCTGTGCACACAGCCATCTCTTCCCATGTCTCCTTTGAAGCCTGCTTCTTCTGTACACACCCCACAGCACAGGCTGCCCATGTTTTCATACCCACTTGTTTGCAGCTGGAAGGAAATCAATCCCGTTGGCCTGCATCATCTCTTTCTTCCTTTCTTTATCAGCTTTCTCAGAAAGTGTGGGCTGTGCTCACTGCCTCAGTGCACACCTCCTGTCTCATCCATCTGTTCTCTCTCAATAAGCTCCTGCATTAGCCCACTTCTCCAAGCCATCCAGAGAGCTGCCAGAAGGATTTATACAAATCCAACCATGTCTACCCTCTGCTCCATAGTGAGAAATGCCTTCTCACTGCCTGTGAGACAATGTCTATGCCCATATAGTACAGTTTCCATAGTTCAAGGTCTCACATCTGCCTGCTGTGTAAGCCTCTTCTCCAACCAGCCCCTGTGTATTTGATGTCTGGAGCTTCAGCAGCCATCTTAGACTATGTGGATCACTGGGAACTTGGGGCCACTCAGAGTGGAGGGGCAAAGTAGAAGGGGCTGTGTCTCTTACACAATAGGCACTCCTGGACAGAAATGTAGCATGAGGTTCTCTCAGGGCCCCTGGGTGGCTCAGTCGGCCAAGCAGCTGACTAGGGCTCAGGCTGTGGTCCCAGGGTCCTGGGATCAGGCTCCCTGCTCAGCAGGGAGTTTACTTATCCCTCTCCCTCCACCTCCCCCACCCCCTTCTGCTTGTGTTCTCTCTTTCTCTATCTCAGATAAATAAATAAAATCTTAAAATAAAATAAGCTTCTATCTCATTTATCCTATTGATATTTCAGGGTTTTCAACTACTTTCATTCATGCCTAATCCTACAAGCATAAGGTTTAAAATAAGAAAGTTGGACTTAATTTTCTTTAAGGATCCTTCTGGCTTTGTGATTCT